CCTGCACCAAACTCCTTAATCAAATTGCTGCATCATTCTAACCACGCTTCATAATTCCCTTCGTGATCTGGAGTCGCTCGCTTCTGCAGCCAGCTTCCTTCGCTCATACGCTCGTTCCACCATTCCCTGCAAGACGACACACTCACTTGCGGGACGATGGAGAAATCTGGGCGGTATTGGAGGTGTGCGGGCCTGCGGCCCACCTACGAGACTTCTTCCTCGGCAATCAAGCAGCATCAGCGGATTTCCTTTTCATTATTTTATCTGCACTGGACCTATGCAGCATTTGTCCCATTTCAGACCTCCCGGTTGGTTTCAGTTTTGAAGACTGCAGAACCATCTGCTTTGTCCTACGGCTCAGCGTTACGGTTGGGACTTTGGCACTTACCAAGATTCGATGTGACCGGCCTCGCTCAGTTGGATCAATCGCTGACCGAGGATTCTCAGTATCTTGGATTCTCCTTTTTTTACTAGACTTAGTTTTGGATTGGTTGATCTTTATCTGCGGTTCCCAGTTTTCCTTTCCCGAATCCACGACCTACAGTTAGAAGCTCTTGGGATTTGGGACTTACCCAGGGTGGAGCTGGACGTCGCTACTCCCGGTACCGCTCCCACTGCCAGCCACTGTATAAGTAACAGGCACAGGACTACTGGAGGCAGGCTGCAAGGCTTCTCATGCTGCCCCGTCTTGAGGTCGCCCGGTCGCTGCAAACATTGCCTGTGCGAACCTGCACGTCATTCAGCCCGAGTTCGGTCACAGGATTGTGAGGAGGCAGTCATTCTTTCTCGCCAATTTTGGCAAAGCGGTCCCGCCCACCCGTCAAGATTCCTGCGGTGTGCGGGCCTGCGACCCACCTACGAGACTTCTTCCTCGGCAATCAAGCAGCATCAGCGGCTTTCCTTTTCATTATTTTATCTGGACTGGACCTATGCACCAGGACCTGTGGACACAGTAGCACCTAGACGGGCCAGGTCCCATCAGCAGCTTAGAGTTTCCTCAATGCCCGTATCTGGACGTGTTTGTGGAAATGTGGTGTTGAGGAAATATAACGCCATTTCTGCACATCTCCTCCAACACATCCAGATTCGGGCGTTCAGAAAACTCTACCCCGCTGGTTGGGCCCTGTGGAGCCAACGTCGAGAGGGTGCAGGCTAATTTGAAACCGTGCCGGAATTCGTCCCGTGCGCACTTCGACAGACACGCACACAGGCTAATTTGAAACCGTGGTAGGTTTCCCGTTTACGAAGTTCAGTCTTACTTAGAAAAAAAAAAAAAAAAAAAAAAAAAAAAACATGGCCGAATTTGTCTCGTGCAGGGACATCTGTTAAAATTCGAACGATACAGAGAAGATTAGCATGGCCCCTGCGCAAGGACGACACGCATAAATCGAGACACACACACACACACAGAGTACACCTTCCATGGCTACAGTAGTCCCCCGAACATAACGTACCCTGGCAATGAATGTATACAAGCCATCTGTACGGTCGGGTACAGGTAACATGAGGGTTCCCAACATGACTGTGTACGGGAGCGAATTTGTCCCAGGCAGACGCGGGAGGGAGAGGGAGAGCGAGAGAGAGAGAGAGAGAGAGCAGGGCGACCCTCATTTTGCATGTACGTGACCCGAAACGTAGGTTTTATACATTCATTACTCAGGTGCGTTATGTGGGGGCATGACACGGTAGATCTGAAAATGAATGCATACAACGAATCTTTCGGGTCAGGCACAGGCAAAATGAGGGTCATGAACATAGCAACCGTGTATTATGTGCGAGGAGAACGGTGGCTATGGACCTCTCTCTCTCTCTCTCTCTCTCTCTCTCACACACACACACACACTCCCACACTCCCTACCTCTCCCCCTCCTGCTCCCTCCCTCCCTCCCCCGCCCCCTTGGATTAATACAGGCAAAATGAGGGTCGCATTCAGGTGTGCGTTATGCTGGGGGAAGACAACTATGGAGGCCGTTGCTGCCGTCCTCCGCGAACATAACGCACGCTATAGCTATGTTGGCCACCATCATTCTGCCTGTATCAGACCAGAAAAAAAAAGAACGAGAGAGAGAGAGAGCATCGTCAATAGCTGCTGCCTTTCCCCAACATAACAAGGTTCACGACCCTCGTTTTGCCTGTATCGGATCCGAAAAATAGTGTGTATTCGACCTCTATCAGGGGGGACAGTCCTCCCCCGAACATAATGCGCACTGATAATGAATGTATGCAACTTAATGAAAGCTCTCTCTCCAGCTATCTTTCTGGTCCAGTACAGGCTCTCGCTCTCAAAACACACACACACACGCACACAAACACACACCTGATGAGTGGGTGAAAGTCCGACGAAACAGTCTGGTACAGTGACTACAGTCATGTTTTTTTTGAGTGTATAGCGAATATGACAACACACAGAGACAGACACACACACACACACACACACACACACACACACACACACACACACACACAGAGAGAGAGAGAGAGAGAGAGTAATCTGAGAGACAGGAGAGAGAGAGAGAGAGAGGTCAGAGGAGAGTAGTCTGACCTCTCTCTCTCTCTCTCTCTCTCTCTCTCTCTCTCTCTCTCTCTCTGTGTCACCTCTCTCTCTCTCTCATTCTCTCTCTCCTCTCTCTCTCTCTCATTCTCTCTCTCTCGTTCTCTCTCTCTCTCTCTCTCTCTCTCTCTCCCTGTGTCTACTCTCTCTCTCTCTCTCTCTCTCTCTCTCTCTCTCTCTCTCTCTCTCTCATTCTCTCTGTCTACTCTCTCTCGTTCTCTCTCTCGTTCTCTCTCTCTCTCTCTCTCCCTCTCGGGGAACAAATTTGCCCCCACTCCCAGTTTTTATTTCGCCCCCGCAGTCCACCGGGACTCCACTTGTAACGGAATTCGCAACCTCTCTGGGCGAGCTCCACAGGGCCGGGTGCAGAGTCCCACAACAGCCTTGCCTTTTCTCGATGCTCGAATCTGGACGTGTCTATGCAGAAACGACGTTGAGTTTCCTGAACCCAACATCTCCACAAACACATATACTCTACGCTGCATGTGGGACTTTATCCCCGGCAGGTGCTACTCTGTCCTCCGACCCTTTATACCAAGTGAAATGAACGGCCTCCGTAGCCCGGAAGGAATGGGTCCTGAAAAAGACAAAACTGCCCATTTTAAACTTGCCATATGTCGGGAGCGCAGCGAGATGTTTTTTTTGCCTCAATCTGGGAAGGACAGGGACGTGCCCAACTGTGTTTTTTTTGCCCATTCTGAACTACAGATGTGACACAAGGGGTACTTGCCCCAAAAAAAAAAGATATGATCATCGAGCTCACCGACCCTAGGTTATTCAGAACTCAAAACCTTAACTCATCTGCTTCCAACGGAGTTCGAACCCAGCACCTGGTCTGTATTTCCACAATTCGTTCAGGGGGATTGTACCAACTGAGATAGGCCAGTTGGTACCATATCCCATTATTAATCAAGGAGTACCCTCAAGAAATTTCCCCGTTTCTTCAACCTCGACTGCTGAACTCCTTCGTTTCCTCTTCTTGACGTCTTCCCTCCCTTCGACAATCCTTGGTCCTTCCCATCCGTCGCCCTCTCCCTCTTGCTCCTGCAGAAGGCCGACCAAGTGAAAATGCTTTCTCGTAGGGGCTTCATCAGCCTTTCGTTTGTGAGAGAGGGGATAAGTGTGTGTGTACACTGGAAAGTTGCCTCCAAAAAAAAAAAAAAAAAAAAAAAAAAAAAAAAAACTGAGACAGGAGTATCGTGGGGAGGGTCTCCGGTTTTGCTTCAAGTCTGTAAAGTGGTCCCCTACGAAGAGTCTCAAGTGTCCGTGCTGAAAGTATGAACTTGCTAGAAGCAATCACTGCCCTGAACTGACGATGATCTATGCTGCTTTACTTTACAGAAGGCCCCCACCCTACAAATCATACCCGAGTACAACGCCCGGTGATTATAGCCGTATATGGTGTGTTTTCCAGTCCTCGTACAGCTAAATCACCGGGCGTATACCTTTCTCGGCCTTTTGGCTAAGATCAAGTGTAGTATCTGTTCTGATCAGTTCAATATAATTTTAAAAAAATTAAAAAAAGATCACCGGGCGTTCCATTTGTTGGGTGCAGCGAAGGTATGGAATGGTCTAGCCCAGGGAAAAGGGGTGTACCCAGTTTACTGGAAACAAACGCTGGACGGGGCCTGGACCCAATTTCCAGCAGATATCCCCACCTGTAGACCGGGGAGTTCCTCGAAGCCTTCTTCATGACGACACGACCTACTGCAACGGGTTGCTCGTATCAAACCCTGTAGCAAACTCCACGCGAGAGAGAGAGAGAGAGAGAGAGAGAGAGAGAGAGAGAGCCACTTCCTACGACCAAATATAGATCACAGTAGGCTGAGCTGTCGGCCTGCTTTTGAGCACATTACTTAAAAAAAAGTGCGGAACGTGGTTGCAGTTACCCGCGAAACATCATACAAGTCAGTCACGCCTTTACGGGATTCAGGAGGACAACAAATATTATCACCGAACTTAGATGCTTCTTGTTATCCGCTGATTTCGACAGTTTAGATTCTTGACAAGGACCTAAGCTTCTTGTTATCCGCTGATTTTGACGGTTTACATTCTTGACAAGGACCTAAGCAACCAGTGGCGCGTTCGGGAAACCCCAGGGATGCGCGCGCGCACACACACACACACACACACACACACACACACACACACAGAGAATTCTTCCATGCGGGCGAGCACACACAAACACACACATACACACGCACAGAGAAAGAGAGGCATGCGGGCGCGCACACACACACACACATACACACGCACAGAGAGAGAGAGAGAGAGAGAGAGTCTTACACACTTCTGAACAAACAGTCGATGAACCAATCGTCAAGAGTTCATACGTTTTCTTAACGCCTTTTGAAACTCAAACCAATGTGTATTCTTCGCAATGTGTCTTGCACCATTACACTCCTTAGGGTAACTCCAACAACAATTACGGTCAAGTGCATCCCGAGCTCGTCGGAAAAGCCATCACACTCATGCATGATAGTACTTACAGACCAGTGAGAGAGCACACCGGTCCAAATTGACTTCACATTACCCATCATCACCTGCACACAAGACGCCCTCAAAGTTCCGTATACGACCCAATATCCATCCCCTTTACATTGATGATTAGGGTGCGTTTAGTCAGGAGAAGACTGCAGAAAGGATCTTCAACGTTCGTGACGTGGCCATATGCTAATTATCTACCTGTGTGATATGATGATATCAACTTCCATCAAGAAACAGAATTCCTTCCGTACTGTACCGAACACAACTGTTGACGAATCTCCGACGTTCCTGCAGACGAATGTACACGTCATTCTCCTGAAAAAGATCTAATCTGCTTGCACTATAGTTCATATAGCAAAAAAAAAAAAAAAAAAAAAAAAAAAGTTCATATAGCACAACAAAGGTCCAACCTCTCGATTCGCTGCTAAAAGCGGAACCAGCGGTCTCAAATTTTGTCCCGAGTTCAGACCCTGCTATGGCCTGCATTGCCCTTCATCACCGAGAGGCTATTTCACAGTCCATCGACCTTACGTTTATCGCTCGTGCTGCTGAATTCAAAACCATTGTGAAAAACGTGACGGCTGAAATTCTACAACGATTACCTCCCTCACACGTCTGCTCTTCGAGACTTCGACGCGTTTCTGGCGACATAGCGGTCCACTGATGTCCACAACTCCACCACCTTATCTAATTCTCTCAAATCGAAATAGGCGTCGTCCAAACGAGAGTCGAGACATGAAAAAAACAACGCGCCGCAATGGCAGCGACAATCGTCCTTCCTCTTGGAGATGCGTCATGAAAAAAACAACGCGCCGCAATGGCAGCGACAATCGTCCTTCCTCTTGGAGATGCGTGTGACACAGGCGAAGGTCGGAGATTCAAAAGAGAACTAGAAATCATACACAAACTATACATGTCGACAGGCAGCGACAATCGTCCTTCCTCTTGGAGATGCGTGTGACACAGGACAAGGTCGGAGATTCAACAGAGAACTAGAAATCATACACAAACTATACATGTCGACAAACGAGTACTTTACAGCAAAAGCATTTTTACGGAAATCGTCAAATCGACACACACACAAGTTAGACAAACTGATACACACACTCTATGCCCGCCATAACCACACGGAAACTGATTAAGGCACACACAGACACAGAGGGAGGGAGAGAGAGAGAGAGAGACAGCCGAAGCGCGGTTGAGGGCATCAACTGGAGAGAGAGAGAGAGAGAGAGAGAGAGAGAGAGAGAGAGAGAGAGAGAGAGAGAGAGAACAGCTGAAGAGCGGTTGAGGGCATCAACTGGAGAAAAGAGAGATGAGGTCAAGCGCGGTCGAGGGCATCAACTGTTAGCTGAGTCCACATCGGCCCTGTATCGCTGCTGAATCGGTGTAAGCAGCGTAAGCAGCGATGTCATCGTGTTCATGGTGTCCCAGGGGAAATGGGTGGTGGAACACTGATGGTCGCTTCACCACAGAACTCACTGATCAATTCCGTCGTGTCCCGCGGAATCAGCAGTGTATCGACCATCTGCACGACGACATCAGGTGCCGTCACCACGTCGAAACCGCCGCTTGGGAAAATTTGCGCGCCATCCACGAACACACCCATCTTCGTCGATGGATAGCGTGAGGTCGCTGAGCTGACTGCCACCTCATTCGGCGGGTAGAGAGTGGGCAAACGCAAGGACCCGTTCGATTGATTAAGCCTGCTCCTTATTTCCGCCATCGGGAGATGACCTGGCACCGCAGAGTAGAGCAGCGATGACGTCATCACTAAGTCCGCCACGTCAGGAATGGCAGCGAGACACCCGCCTAACCGTTGGATCTGGTCACTGACAGCCGCATCGGTGGGCGCAAAGATTGTCACTCCACCCGGACGTCTCCGTTGCGCCTCCATAGCCATCAAAGCACCGCGGGAACTCCTCAGCGCGCCGACGTACAGCGTCAGATTCTTCCCCTGAGTCGACCGCTCTATCACGTCCGGCAATGGCTGAACTTGTCCTGGGTGACCAGGCGCAGACGGGGAGGGTTGACCCATCACCGCCGATATCACGGAGAGCGCCGTGACTGCCATCACCATAATCCTCATCACGATGACGGCTACCTCTCCAATCATTGAGCTTCGTCCACACTTCCTCCCGCCACTGACTCCTCCACCGGAGGACCAGGGATCGCCCACGGCCATCGACATCCTCTTTGACCGCAGGGGTGATACCGCGCGCGACCCGCGCACAAGCGCGCCCGTAACCTCTCTTCGACCGTCTCCTTCCGAACCCCCACCCTTTCCCCCGCGCACAAGAACGCCCGCAGCCTCTCTTCGATCGTCTCCTTCGGGATCCCCTTCTCTCACCGACAATGGTGCTATGGTTTCTGGTCCTCTTTCTGCCAACTCGCGCTTCCCCGCTCTCACCCTAAGTTAGACTTATGTGTGGCACTGCCTTCGGCAGTCGATTGCGCTGCACTTCTGACGGCTGAAAATGCCGCTGCCCCTCCGCCCGGTGTTAAACGCTACACTTCCGCCTGCCCCAATTGCCCTGCGCTTCCGCAGGTAGCTAATGACTCAATTGCGCTGCACCTCCGCCCGCAGTCGATTGCACTACACTTCCGCGTGCAGTCAATTGCGTTCCGCCGCATTCCGCGCGCAGTCAATTGCCCTGCACTTCCACCCACGGCATTTGCGCTCTACCCCGCCCGCTGCCAAACACGAGCTGCCAGCGTCAACCCAAGTCCAATATCTCCAAATGCAATCCTCTCCCGCTTTTAATCTCTCACAAGAGTCACGCCGAAACGGGCCCGCCGTTGACCGTCTGTCAGCTCAGTTCGTACGACCAAGAACGGTCGGAAGCGAGCCCCGGCACGGTTCCACTAGCACACGAGCACAGTAAAATGTCCACAGAAAACATATGTGGGACATCTATGGGACATCGCCTGGCCGTCGGTGACGTCCCATAGGATGGCAGCACTTTTTTCTGTTTTTCGGGAAATTTGTTGAAATGGTGCTAAAAGTTGGGATATTTCGTCAGATACCCCTAAAACACAGGGGGCATGACGAAATGCCCTCAACTTTGGCTGTTGCGCCTGTCCCGGCCATGGGAAACTTGGCCATATGCCCTTGACCTTGAAGTTTTCCACTGCAGAGAGGGACACTCCTGGAGTCCTGGTGAGCTCGCCAGAAGCAAAATCGGATTGGATCTTCCGCTAGACCATGTAAAGTTTCAGGCAGTGCCGTCACGGTGAACGTGACCGACACCGGTCACTTGAACGTGACAGGCCCATCATATGGCCCTGCGCCCGTGAACGGGCAAACCACGAAAGAGCGGTATTTTTTGTTTTTCAATATTTTATTTAAGTTTTTTCTTTTTTTTTTGGGGGGGTGGGGTGTAACCCAGCTACAGTTGCCTCAAGGCCCACGTGACCGTTGACCGGCCCTTGTTCACGAACCCTGTGAACTGTGAACAGGGTTACGTCACTGGTTTGAGGCAAAGAGAGATCACCAAAGGCACAAAATGAGAATGAATCTTGTGCTAAAACATGAGAAGATACAGACACTTAGAGTTGAGACTCCCACTCCTGTGAACTACGTCGCTAACGACGAATCCCGGGAATGACTGGGCCGAAAGGGAAGGAATCACTTGCACTGAAGTGAGGGCTCTGCATACAAAAGCGACTATGGAGTTTTGGAAAAGTCACGTCTAGCGTTAAACAAAGCAAAAATTATGAGGGCATAGCCCACAAAGACTTCTAGCGTTCTGAGGGCAACAAATTGCAGGTAGTTAGTGATTTCATTTATAGTCCTGTAAAACGGTCCGCCGATGGAATAAACTTAGAAGAACAAAGCGAACCTCAAAACATCGAAAACAACGTGGTTTGAAAAGACTGCAAGTAAAACCCACTCGTTTATAGTTCTATAAATAAAGATTCGAAACTTTTGAAATTTTGCGCCTCGAGAACACACTCATTTAAAGTTCCAAAAATTAAGACTCGAAAGTTTTGAAACTTCGTAGAAAAAACACAGTCCTGACCCGAAACGTCCTAAGAACGGTGAACATAGTTTCTCGAGAGTAGCCCGATTTATAGTCTTATAAACATATCTTTAAAGTTTTAAAAATTCAAACAATCATAACCAAGAATCGCCCAGTACTGAACTGCAGAAAGTGAGTTTTAAAACGTTATTTTTTTTTAGTCTTTTAAAACAAAATAAAATAAGCATAAATCTTCGTGTGTTACAACGTCTACTTTCAAAACAACCACGAACATCGTAAACATTAAGGAGAAGATCAATATCATTCTAGAATGAAACATTTCAAACTCATAAAGGTTCGTAAAAAAAACAGATACAGGGCAAAAAAATAAAATAAAAAATTTGAAGTCCAAACAACTAAAGGAAAATATATTTTCACTGACTGCGTTTGTAGGACTAAAAGCACAACGACAGTGCAGTCACTCTGACTGCATACATCATCACTTCGTACACAATCATTGTCTACACTGTGACTGCGTGCATAATGACTGCGCTCATACACAAATCATTTTGTTGCTTAGATATTCATGTTTTTACTCTTCTAGTCGCAGTTATCATGTACAGGTGCACCTTTTCAGGGACTGCATTTGCACGACGAAAAACACAGCGACGGTGTACAAAGTGACTGCCTTCATCGTGGCGTACTTTGTAACTGCGTGCATAGTGACTGCAAACACATTCACAGTGTACACGAATCATTTTCTTTCTCGGACAATCAACGTTTCCACTCTTCTAGACACAAGGTGTAGAGGTAGTGATTGTACTTAATTTAAAGGGCTTCAAAAGTCTAGATATAACTAATTAAGAGGACCCTCTGCCTATAACAGGACTGTAAGAGGCAAAAAGTATGAGTTTGTTCGAACTCGTTCAAAGGACTATAAAACGTAATGAGGAGGTAACATCGGAACCCTGTCACTGGTCCTTTTTGTAGTACTTTCAAACAACAACAAAACGACTCTGCAGCACGACTATAAGAGAAAAAAAATCTAGGTTTGTTAGAACTCGTTCAAAGGAATACAAAATGACATGAAAAAATAACAATAAAACCCTGTGAGTGGTTCTTTTTTGTAGTACTTGAAAAGAACAACAGAACGACTCTGAAAAACAAATCCGCCAACAGTGTCTTTAAAAACTCAAAAACAAACTACTTAATAACATTTCAAACACTACCTAATCATAACATTGCAAGTGTTAGTCAGTCGAGTGGCAGAGCTCAACAAAGACAGTCTTACAGGACTAAACCCATTTTGAATTCGGAAAGAGAGACGAAAAACTCTATCTTTCACAGACACGATTTTTCAGACTAGAAAACGACCTGAAAAGCAAATGGTAAGATCACGTTGATGGAGTCTTTCTTAGTCCTTTCAAATGACAAATGAACATATCCGGAATACAGATTTCTCCTAAAACTGCTCTATAGAACTATAAACCGAACTACTATTGGTGAGATAAAAAAATATTCTAAAACGACACCTAATCGGAATACTGCAATCGTTTTGTAGCAGAGTGGTGAAAAACAGAGCTCGTTAAAGATAGTCTTAGAGGATTATAAACTCATTTTGGAAGAAGACCAGAAAACGAGATGTCATCCAAAACTGCTTTAAAGAACAATAAAATGAACTATTGTTGGTGTTCCAAAAGTTCTTCTCAAACGGCATCTAGAGAACACTTACTGTTAAAAGTGTGTTTCCTTTCGTGTGGACACGCAAAAAACTAAGCTCGGAGAAAACAACCTTAAAGGACTATAAAGATTGTCTTCGAGGTTACCTAAAAATTTATACATTCTGATCTTTCACTCAACGGTTCTTCGCACGATGGTTATTTTAGGTGGAAAAACGTGCTTTCCTGTTCGGCGTTTCAAGTGATTCTTAAAAAATATTTTTATTTCAAATTTTTCGGGGATTTACACCACGCATAATCTTGCTCTCGCAAGACGCAAAAAAATCGTTCTTTGAAAACATTCAAGAAATTTTGTGCAAACCAGACTTTTTTTTCTTTCTAGTTTTTACGAATCTAATGTTGTCTATGACCAATACTGATGTGAGTGTGAGTGTGCGAGTGAATGGGTTGTGTGTCTTATGTAGGAAAGTGTTGGTCATAGTCACTGTTGCTACATGATGGGGGGTGGGCGACGATGGAAAGAAGGGTGCAACTACTTGCAAAATGTTCACTCCTACCATTAGCCTGACCCCCATCGGCAACCCCACTCCAACTCTGACTACCTATGTATCACCCATGGTGAGCAGTGGACCTGCAGCGTGCCACTAGTTGCCCTGACCTACATCCATGGCTATCTGGTTGTTTGCCTAGTACGTCTTTGGGACGCGGCTACGGCCGACCTCAAGATGACTGCGACCACCGGTTTTCATCATTTTTCCTCGATAAAAAAAAGGGTTGCCGGATTTTCCAAACCATACAACCTTTTCTTTCTGAAAAAGGTTATTCTTTGGTAAAAAATAAATGAAAAACCAAAACATCACAAAAGAAAATCAATAAAAAATAAAATAAAAAATGATTTGTTTATTTATGGGTGGCATGCCATACGCGTATGCATTCCAGCGTACGCGTATGAACACATAATCGCTCGTACGCGTACGTAAAAACACAAAAAAAAACGAACAAAATCCAACAAATCCGAAAACAAAGTATGTTATGCAGAATAATAATACAAACAACTTTTGCCCGGGAGTCATACCATAATTCCCAACCAAGCTTGATTTAAAAATAAAATACCTTAAAAAAAACTTCAAAATAATAATAATAATAAAAAACACTAATGCAAAATAGTTTTTAAATTATTATGAAAATATTACCTTTTTTTTAGTTTTTAATTTCTTACTCGAGTTTCATTGGCAATTCAGGGAAGACTCCCGGGCAAAAGTTGCTTGTATCATGCATAACACATATTTGTTACAAAAGTTTGTTTTTATATTTTCTGTTTTTATTCCTAGTTTTTTTTACTTTTTATTTCAATTTATTTGTTTTTTGTATCTTTGATTTTTCACTCGAGTTTGGTATAAAAGTTTGCCATGAGTCTTGAACGAAGGTTGTTTGAAATATCATTTTCCATAACATACTTTTGTTTTAGATGTTTCCGAAGTTTTTTTTTTTTTTTACGTACTCCCATGTACGGGAGTACGTGTACGCGCGTACGTGTCGCGTACAGGAAGACGTGTACGTGTGTACGTGCAACCCGCGTATAGATATCTCGTGCAACCCAAATTTCTTTATGTATTTATTTTTGGTCGGTAGTTTTTTATATTCTTGGTACGCGTGTACGCGCAACCCGTGTACGTTGTCGTTTGTATCTGATTCAAAACCAAATAATGCAAAAAAAAAAAAAAAAAAAAAAGACCCGTTCCGCCAGGCTTGTGCTGTGTTTCGGTGGTGGTATGGCACCGTGGCGGTAGTGGTGGGCGATCACCATCCATAGACAACAACACATTTCGTGTTTTGTTTCAGATGAAGATCGCAAC